AATATTTGAACATGACATCAGTTTTACATTTGAAAGTTCAACACACAATTATCTAGAATCTAGATTCAATGTATTCTCTTTTCTGTGCACTAGATGGCAACAGAGTACTAGAGAAACAAAAATTACTCTCAGAATGTGCTGGACGGCTATGACTTTTTGCTTTCACATCAAGCTGGTGTATAAACAAAAATATATTATATTATATTATATTATATTATATTATATTATATTATATTATATTATATTATATTATATTATATTATATTATATTATACAGAATAGTAAACCAGATTTGCTTGTGTAGTTTATGCAATCTGATAATTTGTGGTCTTTTCAATAAGGATCTCTGAAGGAGAGCCACATTGTTTCACTAAATGCATATAGTTAGAGTTTCAATTCATCTTTTTTCACCATCGATTTTTGTTTATCGCTCAATGCAAAATTTTTCTGTTCATTTATTTCAGAGTCAATGCTCATGTTTTCAGTTACAGTTATATTTTTCAAGCCCATATGTATTTTCAGTCATCTTTTTGGCCTCATAACATTTGCCCGACATGACTAAATAGCGGTGGGTCGTCTTCGCTGAAAGATGTTTGAGCCTGTGCGGTATCCGTAGTTTCCCTGTAATGCGACAAGTACGCTAGCACGCGCGTTTTCGCCGGAGAAACGCCGTCCGACGTAACACGTATTGAAAGGTTTTTATTGGCCATCTTTTTTTAACAGACACCACGCGAATTTTGTAAATACAGTACAACTCAGCTAATGTAATAATCGCTTTAGCTTATTAAATGTAGCTGCCATTTTCTTATTGAAGACACCACTGGTTGGTGTAAGGCGTTACCGAGTGTGTCGGTGTAATTCAGCTTCTACTTCACATTAATGGACGCCATTAAATGAAGTTTTTATTTCCTAAGTGCGCGCTGCTGCATCTGAGGCTCTCAGCTCTGTTTAGTGTCATCATGTGGCTTTAATGGACAATGGAGTCTCTTCGGCTGCTGTCGGTGGATCCCTCTGACCGGGGTTCTCAGAGATGCAGGCTGGGCCCGGGTCTCATGTCGTCGTTGGGTCTGAGGCTGGGCTCCCCTCTGCTAGTGTCTCTTCCCGGGGGAAGCTGCCTGTGCGCCGCCTGGCCCCGTCCCGACCTGGCGGAGGGCTTCCTGCAGATGGACCTGAAGTGTTTCACTCCCAGCCTGATTTCTGGGCTCCCCGCTCACCTGAGCGTGGACACGGCTCAGCTCAGCCCCGTGCCCTGCACCAAACTGAAGTGTGTTAAAGTGACTGTGGTGGTTCAGAGTCTGGACTTTAAGAAAACCACAAACTCCAGCCTGGTTCACGAGCTTGTGAAGGACATGTTGACGGGCGTTTATGTCCATAAAGAGTTTGTGATCAACTTGCAGGATTTTAATACAGACATAAGATATGTTGTTGTGCACGGCATCAGTCCAGAGTCTGCAGCTGCTGGAGTCATCACCTCTAAAACTGGTTTAGAAATAGCTCAGATCCAGACAGTCCAGCATTACAAGAGTCGAATGCAGGACCAGCACATCCCCACCCTGGGAGGACTGGAGGAGGTCAGTCTCTACTTACTGTTATCACCCCAATCCACAAGGTTGACTCCAACATGTGTTTTTCTTCTGCTGCAGGTGAGTGCATCCCTGAGAGAGATGCTGCAGCTGCCCCTCCTTTATCCCAACACCTTGACCTCGCTGGGGGTGTCCTGCCCCAGAGGAGTGCTCCTGGTGGGACCTCCCGGAGTTGGGAAGACCGGGTTGGTCCATAGGGTGGTCATGGAGGTGGGAGCCAGCCTGGTGGTGGTCAGAGGACCAGAGGTAGGAGCTGCTGTGCACATTGTCATTTTCAGTGAGTAATTTTGCAAAGTCAGTGACTGGGGAACGTTTCAACTGGAAATTACTTTGTTGTCATTTTGGTTCTTAAAAAGGTTTCAAGAGATACAAATCAAATATCTTGCATTCTCTGTTTGTTTCAAGACAAAGTAAATGGTTAAACTACTATATTGTCAAAGAATAACTATTCCAGAGTGAGTCTTCAAAATAAACTCAACTGTACAAATATATTTGAGCTTCTTTTGTGTTTTATGAAAATAATAATTAAAAAAATACGAACAAAAAGCTGCTTCTTTAATTTTTTTCATTACATCCCTTGATTCTGATTTGTCAAATTCAGTTTGAGTCAGACTCCACTTTCTATATTCATCTCATCTGATATCAAATAGATTGTAGTTTTACTTGCAGTGTTTTTTGAAATGATAGCAGTAAAAAGGTGAATATTCTTTGTAATGAGCACTACAAGACCACAAATAGATTTAGCTGGTATGATTGTCATGTTTTTTCTGATGTTTTTAAAAATTATTTAAAATAAATGTTTATAGAGATCATGAATCAATGGCATTCAAGGTTATTAGGCCATGAGAATGACACGAGATCGACATGTGGTGCATAAGTGCAGCTGAGTCACAGCAGCGGTCTCCTTTGTCAGGTTGTCGGGTCACGGCCGGGTGAGAGCGAGGAGACGCTGCGGGCTGTGTTTGATCGTGCCCGGTCTGCAGCAGAAGAGGGCCCCTGCGTGTTGTTTTTGGACGAGCTGGACTCTCTGTTTCCAAGGAGAAGCGGCTCCTCTGCGCCGGAGAACCGGCTGGTGGCTCAGCTTCTCACGCTGATGGATGGGATGAGTCGGTCCGACCGCTTCCTCATCGTCGGAGCCACCAACAGGCCAGACAGTTTAGACCCGGCGCTGCGTAGGCCTGGGAGGTTTGACAGAGAGGTGCGGCGTTTTAATTTATATAGCCCTGTATGTAGCATGAACGACAGCTGCTACATGCAAAGCAAAACCAGTAAAACCAGAGTTTTCATTTGTCCTCTTTATAAGGTGGTCATCGGTGCTCCAACTCTGCTGCAGAGAAAGGCCATCCTGTCTGTTCTGTGTGAGAGAATGCCCGTGGGCCCCACCGTGAACATTGCAGAGCTTGCTCAGATAACGACAGGATATGTCGGAGCAGACCTGAGTGCACTGTGCAGGGAGGCTGCCATGCACGCTCTGAGGGAGAATGTAAAGGTAAATGCAGAGAAAATGAGTGATCATTTTTAAATTTATTATTTGCCCAGATATGATCATTGCAGCTTACTGCAGCGGTTTCAGTGACACTGAGCACAGCAGCAAACCTAAAACAGAATGGCTGAAAATGAAAAGAATCAATTTACTGGAATGGTCCAAAGTCCAGACCTCAACAGTGGCTGAAGTCTTACGGTGGAACCATAAAGAGAGCAATGCAAAAACAAATGCATGTAAAACTCATTAAACTGAAGGAATGTTTTGAAGAAACCTAAACAACTTTGCAACACTGTGAGAGAGTGATGAAGTCAGACAGACACTGGCTACTAAGAATTATTGCTGTGAAAGCTCTTGAATTGTGGAACACAGTTTGTAGGACTGTGTTCCGTGCAGACAAAATGTCAAATCTTTGTTTTTATCCAACGTTTGGATCAGGAACAATTTATGAGTTTAGTGTTCTGTGATTCAGTAACTCTGTTTTCTGCAGGGTTCAGGGGAGCAGGTGGTGGATATGAAGCACTTCCAAGAGGCCCTAAAGTTGGTGGGCCCGTCCTGCCTGAGAGGCAGCCTGGGCAGGACGGAGCTCTCCCCGGTACTTTGGGAGCAAATCGGAGGCCTGGAGGAAGTCAAAACCAAACTAAGACAGGTAGGCTAACTAGGGGTGGGTGATGTGGACTTATCTTATGGTGCTGTTGTGATAACAATATTTTTTTTTATCATAATCCATTTATTACTTCTTTTTTACATAACCATATGGCTGAGACTGGAGGGCTCAGCAATCATAGTGCCACAAACACAAATATTGTTCTTGAAATAGGCTTATTCAGGATGCCACTTACTTATATATAAATGTGATTTATATCACTACACTACAATGCAGTGTAGTGATATAATTTAATCATATTTAAATTTAGAATTGACTGATATTTATTGATGCATGTCACTTGTAGAACAGTGGAGAAAATAAAAAAAATAACATTCCCGATTACCATCAGTAACTGAAATTTATTATGATAAGAAATTTGATCCACCCATTTTCTACCACCCTTGTCCCTAGTGGGGTTGGGATGAAGCTGGTGCTTATCTCCAGCTAACGTTCCGGGCAAGAGGCGGGGTTCACCCTGGACAGGTCGCCAGTCTGTCGCAGGGCAACACAGAGACAGACGGAACATGCAACCATGCACACACACACTCACACCTTGGGAGAATTTAACTTAGAGAGACCAGTTAACCTGACAGTCATGTTTTTGGACTGTGGGAGGAAGTTGGAGAACATGCAAACTCCGTGCAGAAAGACTTCGTGCCAGGAATCGAACCCAGGCAACAGTGATACCAACTGCGCCACTGTGCAGCCCTGATAAATGTATTATGGTAAATTGATCTGATAAGCAGTATGATAAATTTCCACCACTAAGGCTGACTGAGCAGTGGGGCTGGATTTATAGAGCTAGAAAGAGAAAGTATGATGACATGGTTTCATTCAAAGCATAGTTAAGTGATTTTTCTCTTTAATTCTCTACCACAGAGCATTGAGTGGCCTATGAGACACCCTGAGGCGTTTCTCCGTCTGGGTCTGTGTCGGCCACGCGGCGTCCTCCTGTATGGACCTCCAGGATGTGCAAAGACGACGCTTGTCAAAGCTGCTGCCACCTCGTCCCGCTCTGCCTTCCTGTCTGTCAGCGGTGCTGACCTGTACTCTCCGTACGTTGGAGACTCTGAGAAAGCTTTAGCTCAGGTACCTTCTATTAGTTTTCTGAAATATGCAGAGAGCAGATCATTTTTATTTCTTCTTTGTTCCATCTTTCAAACCATTGCATCTGTCTTCACGTGCAGCTGTTCCGGCAGGCCCGCGCCTGCGCGCCCTGCATTCTGTTCCTCGACGAGATCGACTCGTTGATCGGTTCGCGGTCCGACGTCGGGACTCCTAACAGTGTACAGACCCGGCTGCTCTCTGTGCTGCTGAATGAGATGGATGGGATCGGCCTGAAGACGGTGGAGAGGAGGGGAGCAGATAAGGTCCTGCAGGCAGAGGGAGTGGAGCAGAGTCACACAGATGATGAGGTCACATGTTGCTGACATCACACAACTTCTCATCTTCACACCCTGACTTTAATAATAAGCTGTTTTTTTATTATTTCTTTTAACAGCTGGACTGTCAGGAGGTTTGTAACAAAGATGTGATGGTTGTAGCTGCCACAAACAGACCCAGCTGCATCGACAGCGCCCTCCTCAGACCCGGCAGGCTGGACCACATCATTTACGTTCCACCCCCTGATCTGCAGGTTTGATTTTACTTCGTAGAGTGCTTACTCTACATTACCTTGTTAAATTTAATCATAGTTATGCAGTGTTTTTTTTATTTATTAAACTCTCCAGTTTAATAGAAGCTTAGGCTGTTTTAACATGAAGCAATAAAGAGAGACAGAATAATTTTTACACAATAATGCGTAACAGCAACTGAGTCCTTTAATGTCAAGTCTCGTGGTGCATTGATTTGTGTTACCTGTGTTAAGGCTCGACTCGCCATCCTAAAAGTTTGCACAAAGTCTATGCCTGTGGATTCACGCGTCTGTCTGGAGGAGCTGGCTGCAAAGACAAAGCTTTACTCTGGAGCTGACCTGGAAAACCTGTGTAAGGAAGTAAGTGTGTCCAAAGTGGCTTTTTTGTTGACAGTTAAAAAACATACCAACAAAGATATATTTTTATATGTATATAATATTTTTATTTTTTTGCTTTTTAGGCTGCTCTGCTGGCATTGCTGGAGGAGAACATGGAAGCTTCAACCATCCAGCAGACACATTTTCTTCGTTCCATCAGTAAAATGAGTCCTTCTCTCACTGCTCAGCAGATTAGTTCATATTTAATACCTCACCAGTGATGTATTTTTATACAAAATATCAGTTTTAAAATAAATATCATGACATGTAACTTCTACTGTCTTTTTTTTTTATCTCATAAGCTTTTCAATGACATTATTTAGGCTATTTTTAACACTCATATGTTCAACTGTATTTCAGCTTTGAAGTCTGACCACTGGAGCATTTGTTATTATCAAATAGATGCTATGTCCTTCCGCTATATATTACAATACAGAAAGAACCATATACTTTCCATTTACCTCATAAATCCTCTCTCTCAGCCCTACATTTTCTTTAGAAAACTAAAGGGTCCATCCAGATTATGACAACTGTGATGCCTTAGTAAATGATCTTATACTGAAAATAAGTTGCATTAATAAGTTGGAAAATAAGTTCATATGTAGCAAATAGTATCATTAAATTCTTGCTAAGAATGGTTAAAGTGTTTTTAACCATTAATAATACTATACTATTATGTTCTATAATACTATAATGTTCAAAGTGAGTATTTGTTTTCGATCAATGCTGTTGTTATGAGCTTCATACTTTTGTTTGGTTTCTCTTCAATGTGTCCAGCAAATTACTTGAATTTCCTCAAGAAACGCAAGAATTATAATGACAAATGTCAGTAAATTTTCAAATTGAGAATATGTTTTCATACGTTTGTACTGTTTGCTCTCAAAAAGTCTGTTTTCTTCTGAACACAATCGGTATAAGCGGCATCCGCGATAACCGATATTTTTTACTTCGTATCGGATCTTTGTCAGTTTGCATTTGTAGGAATATGACCGAGTGAGCGCTGTCACCATCAAAACTATCTTTGAAATGTTCTCTGGTAACCGTGACAACGAGAATTTGGGCAGTTAGGAGAAAGTAAACGCTCACGGGCTCCATCTGAACGCTTTGTATTTCGGAAAACTTTCATTTCGTAGGTATTTACCTGTTTGGGTGGCACTTACGCAGGTGTTGTCTTTTGTGGATGATGATGTGTACAACAGCGTACATATCACGTAACTTTAAGATGTGGTAATTAGCTAGTCGCATTTTTCCTCCTGTATTTCAGTTACAAAAAACGTTCATAAAATATTTTTGGAGTCCTTATTATCCGTTAGCTATTGAGCGCTCTTTGTAAAGTTACGCAGCTAAAAAACAAACAAAAAACAATAATTTGCTCTATTTAGCTCGTCGTAACAAAAAAAAAAGTGCCTGTTCAAGTCCGCCACCACCGGAGTTCAGAGACGCGAAACCCCGAGCTTTTATTTTGATATTCCACTTCCGCTTACCGATAAGTCCATTTGCATATTAGCTAAGTGTTTAGCTAGCAACTTCACTATTTTGTGAGCAAGCAAAATATTTGTGAGTTTGAAAACATTGTTTGGAAAATAAGTATATAGTTTGGAATTAAATGTATAAAGTCAGTCCTTTCGAATTAATTATTTAGTTTGGAACTCATACAATTATAAATGTTGGAATGGCGTGGTGAAAATATGTCAGAAAAACGAAGACCCACATTTTTTTTCTCTGGCAGGCCAAATACAGCGAATTATTGCTGTTAAATTTTTATTGCGTAGCTTTACGAACGGCACTCTACAGTTGGCTGACACATGTGGTAAGGAAAGTACATAAACCAGCAAGTGAACAGCATGCCATTTTCGCAATAGGTGTTTTAAGGATTTTGACAAAATGTCCGGATTCTTCCGGTTGATGATGAAGAGGAAGGAGGTAAGATGTTTGCTTTATACACTTTTGGCAAGGCTCGAACTGCTTGATCAGGTGTGGCTGGTTTGTTTCTTGTTTCAGGTGATTCCTATTGTGGGAATAATGGCTTATTCTGCGATAGGATCATCATCAGTTGCCATCTATTTTCTGTTCCACAAGAATGATGTGATGTGAGTTTTTTTTATTATTATTTTTTTTTTACTCTTTTTGAAGAAATTTTGTCAATTAGGGCTGAGTCATTAAATCCGCTGTTTAAATTTGCTGTGTAGTTTGAACAGGTCTTCAAATCCAGAACCTTGGGATCAAGTGGACCCTACAAAACCTCAAAAGGTGTATTTTAATTTTTGTAAACAAGCATTGCCTTCCACCCAACTTCTGAGATGTGCTGCCTCACTATCACTGTGGCATCAGAGTCAGTCCTCCAAATATTCATGGTAACAGTGGTAAATACCTTAAATGAAGTGGCTCTCTTTTTTTTTCCTAAAATTTTGTTGCAGTTTGTCACCATCAATCAGAAGTGGGAACCAGTGGAGACTCTGGAATTGGTGAAGTCCATGACCAAATGAGAACGAGGAGAAAGCATAATTTCTGAAGTTGTTTTTTTGTTATTTGGTCTCAAGCTGTTCATGTTCATGTTTTTTCTTTTGTACTTTAACAGTTTAATTTTACTGTCGGATGCCTGAGCTGTATCAAAATATGTATTGCTGTCTGAATATAAAAAGGCATAACCCCGGACTATTGCGCTCTATATTTTCAATAAAGCCGAGCTTTTTTGTGGCTTAGAGGAGCGGATGGTTTCTGTCTTGATATAATGCTCTCCTGACTAAAGCTAAAGTTACCACTCTGATCAGAAGTTTTTATATACATTAGTCATCATAATCCAGAGTATGATTTGTTCTTTGTTGTTTCAGTTTAAACACAAAACCTGGGGGGAAATTGCATTGTGTTTTTGTTTTGTTTTTCCATTTTTGTATTGGTATGTCATCTGGTTTTGGTGACTACAGGAGTCTCTTAGGCTACCGTTGTTGATGACCTTGTGAAAGACGCACTGAGGAGTGTTTGTATCCATGAGGAGTTTGCAATAAACCTGAAGGATTTTAATGCACTAGTTGGTGGTGTCCTGTCCCAGAGGCGTGGGACCTCCTGGAGTTGGGAACTCCGTGCTGGTTCACTTTGTGGTCATGGAGGTAGGAACATTTTAATTTTTACTGATTAATTTTGTCAAGTCAGTGATTGGGACACATTTTCCAGGCACTGACTTAAAAAAATGATATTGAATGTGCTGGTTAGACATTGTTATTTTAGTACTCAAAAGAGTTTCAAGAGATGCAAAACAAATATCCTGTATTTCATGACAAATGACTAACTTCTTATGTTCAAAAATAAATACTCCTGAGTGAGACTTTAAAAATCACAAGAGATTTGTATGGATATATTTGAGTTTCTTTCATGGTTTTTGAAAGTAAATGAAATAACTAAAGATCAAGAAGTTGTTCTTTAAGTATTTCATTTTCTCATTACATCGCTTCCTTCTGATGTGACGAAATCTAGTTTGAAAACTACTTTCTATATTCATTGTATCTGATGTAAGAGATTATAGTTTACATTGTTACTTGAAATGAAAACAATAGAAAGGTGAAGTCTTCTAATGAACTTAACTGGTGTTATTTTCATATTTCTGCTAATGTTCACGTTCTGGTGTATCCCTGAGTAACAGCAGTGTTCTTCTATGTCAGGCTACAAACAAATCAGTTTTAAAATAAATGTTATGTTGATGTAACTTTTACTGTGTCATTTTGTTGTCTCATAGCATTTGCCATGACACAATTTTTGCTGTTTTTAGCAAATCATCTAGCGCTATCTTTCAGTTTTCAAGTGTGACCACTAGAGGGCCCTGCACACTTGTATTTTGTATCTAATAGATGCTTTGCCCTTCAGTTGTACATTACAATACAGGAAGCATCATGTGTCTACGTGCCTGTCACCTCGTAAACCCTTGCGTACTGTCCTACATCAGTTTGTCTCCTGCTGTGCAGGACTCAGACTTCAGGAAGCTCTGAAGCAGCAGGTAAGACATGTTGCACCGAGCTGCCTTTGGGACGTCGCCTCTTCCCTTAGGAAAGTAGAGACTCAGACTGAGGATGTACACAACAACAAGTGAAAACCAAACTATTTTCTCTGCAGGTGTTTTGAGTATTTTGGAAACATGTCTGGATTCCTCCAGTTGTTGAAGAAGAGGAAGGAGGTAAGACGTTTGCTTTTTTTACTAGTTTTATTTGTGCAGCCGGGCTGCTTCTAGTGAAGCTCAGATCTGGTTGTAATGCTTCTTGTCTGTCTGTTTCAGCTGATCCCTCTGGTGGGATTCATGGCGTTCGCAGCAACAGGAGCCACATCTGCTTCCCTCTACTTTCTGTTCAACAAAACCGATGTGATGTGAGTTTTTCCTCTCGTTTTTAGCTCACGCTTGATTAAATTACATCAATTAGAGCTGACAGAGTATAATCTGTTATTTTTTTTTTCTGTACAGTTTAAACAAGACAGAAAACCCAGAACCATGGGAAAGAGTGGACCCATCAAAGCCCCAAAAGGTGTGTTTTAGTTTTATTTAAGCTTTATAAGATTCCATATTGCTATATTAATTTTGACGAGGGTTTCAGTTCTCTTTATTGCGGCATGTAAACAAGCACCGCCTTCTTCCCTGCTGCTGATAGACAGTGCTGAGTCACTATCACTTGTCCCAACTGCCTTCTGTGACATCAGAGCCAATCCTGGTAATAGCCAAAGGATAACTATAACAAAGGCTCTTCTCTCTTTTTTTTCTGTCTGTAACATTTTACTGCAGCTAATCACCATCAATCAGCAATGGAAACCAGTGGAAACTCTGGAAATGGTGAAGTCCATGACCAAATAAAGAAAGAAGAGCCAGTATCATCTCTGAAGACGTTGAGTCTTGACCACTTGCCAGGCCCCCTCATCAGTCTAGCAGAATCCTTTCTGCACAAACTGGGACGCTTTGACACTCAGTGTGCGGAAACGCTTCTGCTCAACTGGTGGGGTCTCACTCTGCTCTGTAGCGGCAACACGAGGACATCTAATCACATCGACAGAAAAAAGAAATGTCTGAGATTAGGACGGGTCATTTGTTTTTGTTTTTTGTCTTTTTGCCTAGCCAGAGCTGGAGAGATTAATTTTTACTTTATCAGCTGTGGTTCGACTTCATTGGTGTCTAAATATAAAAAGACACAAGCCCAGAGTACTGTACTGCATATTGTCAATAAAGTTGAGCTTTTTTGTGCCTTAGAAGACCAGATGGTTTCTGTTTCCATGTAATGCACTCATGATTAAAGGTAACGTTCCAGGTCTGGTCAGAAGTTACTATGAAGTAGTCCTCAACAGGAATGTTATTTTAATTTGGGGCATTTTGATTTATGCTATTCTGTTCATGTTGAACTCATTAAACAACGAAAGGAATTTTAAAAATGCACAACTTTAAATTCTTTGCCGAACTTGTCTTGGCGAATCGATGTTATTATATTTATGGCTTCGAGCAAATGCATACAACCTATTCAATATTTAATTAAATGCCCCTCAGAAAGTTGAAGAGAAATGTGAGCTTTGTAGCCATCAACAGAATTCTGTCAGAATATTTAATGTTCTTACTGGAATTGGTCGATTTGAGTTATCGCACTGTCAATGTGACGAACGAGGTATAACTCATTATGCTGTGCGGCAGTGGAACAACTACACATTGCGGTGTTTAGGAATATTATTGTTATTATGTACATTGAAAGTGATGTCAAAATGACAATATCTTTGTTCATCGCGATAATTTCGGAGACAGTTTATTGTCTTGCAAAATGTGTTACCCTGACTAAAGACTTCCCAGGAGTTCTGCACTTCAGTTCTTGTAAAACATGAAATGTCCCGGACAGACAGAACTTTGTTGTTGTGCTTGTCCTGCCCAAGGCTTTGACCAGTTTTCTTTCATATTAGGGTTAAAACCTGTTCACTGTTGGCCGTTTTAACAGAAAATTGATCCCAAGCAGCGCTCAAAAGTGGTTTTGCAATAAAGCTGGCTAAAATTAAGCTCGATTGTCCTGCACTCAGCCTTTTTGAAAAATTGTAGTTTATGCCTGAAACCCTGAACCAACCTTTTTAAATTAACTAGCACTTCTGATAGAAAGAGAGGTCAAATATCCAGCAAAAATTATGCAATGGTTTTTTTTGTGGCTACCAAAAGTATCGGGACATTGCTTTTAACCACATGCATATATTCACAGGTGGCAGTTTAGCTCCGATTCTACAGACAGTCGATACGTTCAAACCTGTTCACCCTCGACTTTTGGTTGCATGACCTCTCAACAAATGCCTCAGATTCATATCCATACTCATGATGACTGCACATAAACTGTGGGATTACACTACGCACAAACCCTTCTGCTCGGTCTTAGTTCAGAAATGTTTAGCCTCCGTGAAGGGGTGCAGCCTTTTCCACTTCAGTCACAGTGACTCGTCAAAAACAGGAAAACGAATGGGTGTTACCCACAGCTGGATGTTTTTCCATAATAAAACACGGGAGCCGACAGCAACACAGCACCTTTTAATTTAAACAGCTAGATATATTTCCTCAAACAGCCTTTTTAATTAAACAGTTGAATGTACAAGTGTCTTTCTGAAGGACACCTGTTCTGTCCCAGACAGAAAATCAAAATGAACCTGTTAACCCAAAACACTGGATGTGAACACTTGGTGCAGAGGTATCGTAAATACTTGCATACCTCTGGAAGGATTCCTCAACCGATGTATGCTGCTAGTAAACAATAGTTTTTTTTAGGGGAAATATGACTGAAGGTAGATTTGTTGCTTAAAGTGACAGCAGCAACAAACAGCTTTCACACTCTGGTGTGTGAAAAATCCAAATCTACCTATGGCCATTTAAGAAGGGCGATCAATACAGCCCTGCAGAAAAGAATCCCCACTGTGTTCAGGAATAATTAACTGGAAACTCATTTTCCTTTTTTCTTGTTTTGGACTAATTCCAACAGTTTTTCCTCAGAGCAACATTCTTTGCCCTTTTATAGATGCTTTGTGAGGTTAAACTAGCTGTATGCCAGTTAAAGCCTCAGAGTGATGGCGCACACGTGATAACGTTCAACCGTTCCTTCAAGAGTTTGCGACCATAAATAGGTTTTGAAACTGGATGCCACACACGCCTGGAAGCCAGTTTGCTCTGAAATGGACTAAAACATAAGCAATTTTCACCCTTTTTGATCCTTTATGCGGTTTGTGTAAGGGCATATACGTTCAAGGAGTTTAATCGTGTTTGGCCTGACATGGCGAGAACATGTCAGGTTGACAGAGTGTATGAAAAATGAAAACAGGCAAACGCAATAGGTCGGGGTGTCGGGGACTGGGCCGGGGGCGTGGTACGCATTCTTATGCTCTCGTCCCTGCAGCCTTGCTGGTTTGGCAAGTGCTGGAGGTCTGTGGATGGCTCGAGGGTTGTCCGGCGGCCTTGATCTTGGTGTGGTGCTGTTTGTGTGGTTTGTTCGGACCATGACCCACAGAGGTGCGTTCTTAGGTGCTGAGTGTTGCTTTCTGCTGTTTTAACTATTCTAGCAAATTTGAAACGTTGTCATCTTGAGATATCCTTTATGTAGAAAAACTCTGCCCTGTTATATGTAACGTGCATGGCCGACTAATTTATATAAATATCTAATCCAAAACTACAATCAAATTAAGTTTGCAAAATGCTTTCTTTCTAAAGAAGTCTGGCTTTTGCAACAAGTCATTGACTTTACAGCAATCCCTCAAATGACGCAGAGATTGCGTTGAGTCGGGTGCCTTGCAGCATCTCTCAGCAAGCACGTCAACAAGCAGCAAGAAAACACTCCCCCTTGTTTTCAGGAAAAGTCGAGCTGCTCCCAGATTAACTGATGGAAACTTATTTTTATCTTGCTCACATCTGAGGAACAGAACTGCCCTCTGCAGGAATGACCTACATACATAACTAGGATTTAGGCAGTGAATTTCCTTGCAAATAAAGGTCGGAATTACATATATGATATGTGGATAAATCAGAGGTTTTTTTTCCTACTTTCAGAAGAAAATAATGCAAAAAATATATATAGTTTTGCCAGCAATATCTGTACTGCTTAGTTAGTGATGGCAACAAGGTGGGAAAGAATCAACTCTCTGAAGCGTCTTGACGATCATGTTGAAAAAGTGAGAATGGATATTTGCTCTGATTGGCTCGTTTTCAAGATCAATATCAAATACAAGAACTAAAAGCTCACTGTTACTTTGATTCTTCTGTCACAGATCTCCAGATTTCATTCAGACGACAGTGGTTAGCAGAAAACTGTGCCGGTAAGGCAGGCTGTAAAGTAATAACCGCGCCACCTAAGCAACTAATCTGCTTAGTTTATGGCTGGATGGGCAAACAGAGTTCGCATTATGTTTCAGAGAGGCAACACTCATATCAGAGAGCGAATAATCAGAAAGTGTCTGTGCTAGAAAGTCGCCCTTGGCTGTGTCTGGCATCCACAGCCTGCAGTTCAGTTGGATATTCATGGTGTTGAATTGGCGTCTCATGACTTATTAAACAAAAGGAGACAATGCACGGAGAAGAAGGTGGAGCTTTTATTTCCTGCTCTGCAACCAGGAAGTGTTTTTCCTTTTGTTTGGTTCCACCTGCATTAGAGGTGCTGCCGTCTCTGTGTCACCCCCGCACAAGTTGTCGACCTTTTTGCACCGTCACGCTGCCTCATGAGTTTTCAGCAGTGAAATTTGATGGCTTTGGATAGACGAGCTCCGGCTTGCCCAGGCATCTGCATGGCTGAGAGGCTACAAAAACGAGCCTCAGACACAGAGAGCTTTATCGCTGTCACAATTTCATTCATCAAGCTGTGTTCGACACACAAGTCATTTACAGAAACAATGAGTCAGGAAGGGCTCAGCGCTGCAGACGTGCAGACGTACGTGACATTATGGCACACACACACACACACACTGAACACCACAGGTCATGTGACCAGCGAGTGAAAAACATTAACCTCAGCTGTAATTGAATATCAAACATGAAACTTCTTTTGCCTCACCTGTTTGTTCACGTCATATTATTGAAAGTTATTTTGTGCCGCTCGTTTAGGACAGATTTCCACGCTTTCCAGTGGAACCTACTCAGACAGGATAAAAACAAGCTGCGTGTTAGAGGAGGCAGAAAGGCAGGGGAGACGGAGGGAAACCGTTTCCTTCTACAACAGAGTTAACCGCTGTTTGAACATTTTATAGCACTTATGTTGCCTGGAAACTGACACCGTCTTGTCAGTTGTAAGCTTTTTTATATATTTGAGATTTACACATTAACTTTGATTGGTGGGCAACGTCGCGGCTATCACAGGATCATCTTTCATGTGGTCTGATGTGCTCTTCAAGTAGATTCACATTAGAGAAAACACAAAGTTTCTCTAATTCACAGGCCTCTCGATACTTGACTACCTGCACTTGCACTGGCCAGCCACACACCTTTAAAAGTCACTTTTTTCCTTCAGCACTGCCTTGCATTTCCTGTGGAAACAGCATCAGCAAACTCTCCTCAGAGGCCTTGGGCCTCGTTGACAGGAGAACATCAAGCCGTTGCTACAAATTTCTCCGCCACAGATACATGATGCACCATGTCTTGTTCTACCACTTCCCAAAGGTGCCTATTATAACTGGGGTCTGCTGACCTTGGAATGTCATCGTAGCGATTTCAATTGTGGCCTCGGTTTTCCTGTTAAAAGCAAAGAGGCCTGCTGCTGAAATCCACCTGCTTCAAAGTTGACCTGTGTTCAGGGATTATATTTTGCATACCTTGGTTGATGCCTCATCTTAAGCCATGATTCTCACACTACTGATGGCAATCCTATAAAAATGTACATAGTCCACCAGCCTCTCAAACACTTTGACCAGGTCGTCTGTAAACAACCATGTGATTGAATTTCCTACCCCACACTGATTCCCACGTTGACCTCCGTGTTTCTAGTCCCTGCCATCTGATTGGCTGGTTTGTCCGTGTTGATGAGCCTAATACAGAGCAGGTGAATGTATATTTTATTACTCGCTAACAGACGATTTTGCTTCATGCACTTAATCACATTTCGGCTTCAAACGTTGTCATTTACAAATTCAGCAAATGCGCGACCCCTAGTGTTGGAAAAATGAACCACATATAAATAAAAAAAAAAGGATCAAAAGCTTTCATCCAATCCTGATCAGATTTGCTGTGGTCACTTTTGAGTAGAATATGAGTAGAATACATAAACAACCACAGTTTATGCAAGATGCAGCTTTGTTAGACATTTTACAGACTTTTTTATGGATGGAAAAGTTAATGTCCCTTCAACCAACTAATGGTTTTGATATCCTTTACAATAACAGTTTAGTCTCTGAGTCTCAAACTTTCAGATATGTCTTTCATTGAGGCAGAGGACTTTTGGCCCGCCTTTCTGAACAAAATTCTTTTATATTAACCATCTTCTTCGGGATGGAGTTGGGAGGTTTCCTGCCCCAAGTGGAGGAGTTTAAGTGTCTTGGGATCTGGTGCATGAATGAGGGAGAGACGGATTGGCACCGCGTATGATCTGTCGTGGTGAAGAGAGAGATGAGTGAAAAAGCAAAGCTCTCAATTTACCGGTCGATCGACATTCCTACCCTCATCTGTCATGACCAAAAAAACAAGGTCACGGATGCAAGAGGGCGAAATGGGTTTTCTCCACAGGGTGTCTGGGCTCTCCCTTAGAGACAGGGTGAGAAGCTTGGTCATCCAGGAGGGACTCAGAGCAGAACCACTGCTCCTTCATGTCGAGAGGAGTCGGCTGAGGTGGCTCGGGCGTCTAGTTAGGATGCCGCCTGGACGTCTCTCTGGGGAGGAGAACGGGCACGTCCCACCAGGAGGAGGTCCGAGACATGCTGGAGGGACCATGTTTCTCAGCTGGCCTGTGAACACCTTGGGATTCCCCCAGAGGAACTGAAACAAGTGGCTGGGGGGAGGGAAATCTGGGCCTCCCTTCTTAAGCTGCTAATCCTGCAACCCTGGTTTAAAA